GCCTAAGATCACGGATTTGACGGCTCGTCTGTGGTGTATCGTCCGAGTCAAAATACGGCCTGGGTTCGGGAGTCGCTCTTGGGCTGCCATCTGGCCCATCTTCTTGGATTTCTGGGTGCCGTAGCGCTTTGGCACGTGAGATCGGCCAATTCCCAGTAACCCTCCAGCCAGAGAGTATGTTCTTCTCGGTCATTCTAACTCGACGCGCCTTGGCGTAGGCCCTGATGAAATTAACCTTGTCTATTGGAGTGGAATTAGTTAATAAAGCGAACTTTTCTAGCTCTCGTCGATACGCGACCTTGGAGGCATTAAATAATCCATCGTCCAAAGGCTGGAGCCTATGAGAGTAGTGTGCTGGCAGATAACAATAATAAACGTTGTTCAAAAAGTACGTAGCCATCTATTTATCCTTCCCTTACTTAGTAGTGACCTTGAGCTGAGGAAAAGGAAGAATATACCGTTGCATGACTTCCATGGCCATTTAGTATGATTAGACGCGTATTAGAGTCGTCGGCTAGCATTGTCTGGGGCAGATAGACTCTTTTAAGCCATTCAATACAAATGTGGTCGTTAGTCTACCCGTTAGGCGAAGTTATGTAATACTAGTCTGCTATCTTCTTGAATTCGTCGAGAAACCACTGTTTCTGGAGTTCTTTCCCCTTGAAGATTATGCCAGGGGTCAAGGCGCGGCTGTCAGTAGTGATAGCTTCGATAAATGAAGTCTAATTTCGAGCTGTGGTCCCCTTGAGAAATGCCTTCCTCTTTGGGTCCGCGCTTCCAATAACTAGGCCGTCTAAGCCTAAATAAAAAGGATTAGTCGGTTAAATTTCAAGCACTGATAAGGTATATAGATAGATGCTTGCCGAAACTAGTTATAATACCCCCTTCGTTAACGTTGACGGTGTTTTCAGGCTTAATCTAGCCATACTGGCCCTCCCTGATATCAAAGTATTAGTGAATTGCCTTGGGTATGAAAGAGTCGAACCTTTTAGCTTCTTAGCGTCTGCCCATCTTGGTCTTGAGGTCTGCACGGCGATTGATAAATCTGGCCACCCAATTGCGTCCTAACTCGGGATATTCGCCCTGCCGTCTCAATAAGCCCATAACGCAAGCGCGGATCTGATCGTGGGACGGAGCATAGCCTAAGGATTCCTGACGGAGTATCCAGAAAGCCAATCTGTCCTCTTGATCCTTGGACAAACGTCGGCGAGGGTGAATCTGCTCTTTCATGGCTCCCCGGCCGTTAAGTCTGTTGATTAGAGTCCTTCGGGGCACTCCCCGTCTCTCAGCCGCTTGAGAGGGTGAAAAGCCATTATCAGTAATATCCAATATAGCCTCAGCCATGTCGTCCTCTGTATATTCCTATCGAAGTCGCGAGATAGGCATTTTTTTGTCGCTATCAAAGACAAAGACCAAAAAACACGAGAAAGAGCGGTGAGCGGCTTGGTGATCGGACTAATAATATTTCAATAGCACGGCCTGCATATATCGCGTACCCCACACAACATTACGGAGTCAAAACAATCACCTCCAATCATTTTTATAATCAATAGAGGTAGCTTCTTTTAGGTAGCTATTTATTTTGGCCAACTTTCGTGTAAGTGAAGTTGACGAGTTTTAGTGGTGCTTTTTTTTTTTTTGCCTGGCGAAAGAGTGGGGTTGGCGAAAGAGTGGTTGTGCATGGTATAGAAATGATTGGAGTCAATTGATTTGACTCTGTAAGGCTGTGCGGGGTACGCGATATATGCAGGCCGTGCATTGAAATATTGTCAGTTCAGTCACTAAGCTCCTCACCGCTCTTTCTCGTGTTTTTTGGTCTTTGTCTTTGATAGCGACAAAAAAATGCCTATCTCGCGACTTCGATGGGAATATACAGAGGACGATATGGCTGAGGCTATATTGGATATTACTGATAATGGCTTTTCACCCTCTTAAGCGGCTGAGAGACGGGGAGTGCCCCGAAGGACTCTAATCGATAGACTTAACGGCCGGGGAGCCGTGAAAGAGCAGATTCACCCTCGCCGACGTTTGTCTAAGGATTAAGAGGATAGATTGGCTTTCTGGATACTCCGTCAGGAATCCTTGGGCTATGCTCCGTCCCACGATCAGATCCGCGCTTGCGTCATGGGCTTGTTGAGACGGCAGGGCGAATATCCCGAGTTAGGACGCAATTGGGTGGCCAGATTTATTAATCGCCGTGTAGACCTTAAGACCAAGATGGGCAGACGCTAAGAAGCTAAAAGGTTCGACTCTTTCACACCCAAGGCAGTTCACTGGTACTTTGATATTAGGGAGGGCTAGTATGGCTGGATTAAGCCTGAAAATACCGTTAACGTTGACGAAGGGGGTATTATGATTGGTTTCGGCAAGCATCTATCTATATACCTTGTTAGTGCTTGAAATTTGACCGACTAATCCTTTTTATTTAGGCTTAGACGGCCTGGTTGTTGGAAGCGCGGACCTAAAGAGGAAGGCATTTCTCAAGGGGACCATAGCTCGAAATTGGACTTTATTTATCGAAGCTGTTACTGCTGATAGCCGCGCCTTGACCCCTGGCATAATCTTTAAGGGGAAAGAACTCTAGAAATAGTGGTTTCTCGATGAATTCAAGAAGATAGCGGACTGGTATTATATAACTTCGCCTAACGGGTAGACTGACGACTATATTTGTGTTGAATGGCTTGAAAGAGTCTATCTGCCCTAGATAATGCTGGCCGACGACTCTGATGCGCGTCTGATTATACTAGATGGCCATGGAAGTCATGCAATGGTATGTTCTTCCTTTTCCTTAGCTTAAGGTCACTACTAAGTAAGGGAAGGATGAATGGATGGCTACGTGCTTTTTGAACAACGTTTATTGTTGTTATCTGCCAGCATATTGCTCTCATGGGCTCTAGCCTTTGGACGATGGATTATTCAATGCCTCTAAGGTCGCGTATCGATGAGAGCTAGAAAAGTTCGCTTCGTTAATTGATTCCACTCCAATGGATAAGGTTAATTTCATCAGGGCCTACGCTAAGGCGCGTCGAGTTGGAATGACCGAGAAGAATATACTCTCTGGCTGGAGGGTTACTGGGAATTGGCCGATCTCACGTGCTAAAGCGCTACGGCACCTAGAAATCTAAGAAGATGGGCCAGATGGCAGCCCAAGAGCGACTCCCGAACCCAGGCCGTATTTTGACTCGGACGATATACCACAGACGAGCCGTCAAATCCGTGATCTTGGGCTGAATAAGACGCCAAAGACACGAAGACGGTACAACGTAATAGCCAAGGGGTTTGAGGCTCAATAGCAGACGGTAGCGGCGTATACTGCGAGGATTGCTAGCCTAGAGGAGGAATTGGCTCGCTTGAAGAGAGGGAAGAAGAGGAAGGCGGTGCCGAATCCTAACAAACGTTTTATGGCTCTTGGTGAGACCTTAGCTGGTGGAGAAGCCATACGAGAAGAGGAGACTCAAAATATGCCTGTTGTGGTGGAAGGTGGCTGTTCAGGCGAGCAGGAGTCAGAATCGGAGGCTGCCTCGGCCATTGAGGTCAGAGAGGAAACCATACCCCATCAACCAACCACGCGATCAGGGCGGCTTATCAAAAGACCAAAGATTCAATAGATATGTGCATTTATTATTTATAAAACGAAAATTTTTGCGCATATCTATCATTTTGGTCAAGTTCTGTGTAAGTAAAGTTGTTGATTTTTGGTGGTGCTTTTTTTTTTTGCGTGGCGAAAGAGTGGGGTTGGCGAAAGAGTGGTTGTGCATGGTAATCAATAGAGGTAACTTCTTTTACGTAGCTATTTATTTTGGCCAACTTTCGTGTGAGTGAAGTTGATGAGTTTTGGTGGTGCTTTTTTTTCTTTCGCGTGGCGAAAGAGTGGTTGTTGTCGCAGGTACTGATGGGCCATGACGAGGATCAAATGAGCGCTTGATTTTCTATCTAAAGGAGTGAAGAGAGTCAGTCTCTTATACCTGTGTTCAGTCTGCCGATCTCATAGGCAGCAGGCTGTTGCCTGATGCTAGTTATGGTGTAGCGTTCACGCTGACCGTGAAGCTATTCACGATGGTTGTGATCCTTGCTCTCGACAGTTGTGCATGGTACACACTCATGGTATCAACTCGGGACTAGAGGATGACCCTAGACCTTCTGGAAACAAAGCCAAGCTTCTTGAAGCATTGTCGATGAGAAATACTCACAATATCAAGAAGGACATCCATGATTGGACGCCACTGCATTACGATACAGTCACAAATAAGGAGAACGCCGTGTGGAAGTGGACAACGCCGTGGGAACTCAAGGCTCGAGATCTCAGCGGATCGATTCCCCTTCACTACGCCGCCAAGAACGACAGCGCCCGGATGGCACGGGATATGCTCCGCAGAGGCGCAGATGTTGACTCACAGGCCAGAGACGGCAGGACTCCTTTACATCTTGCGGCAGCTCACGGCCAGCTTGCCACGTTCGAGGTGCTGTTGCAGGCCGGGGCAGCTCTCGACATCAGGGACAATGTTGGAAGGACACCGCTTCACTTGGCTTCGTACGGGGGACATGATGCTATTGTTGAAGAGCTTGGGAGGTAGTCAAACAAAGATATTCGTGACCGTAGCGGCACAACGGCAATACATCTGGAAGCCATTGCGGGAAACGACCAGACCGTGAAGTTACTCATCGACCTCGGCGCCAAATACGAAGTCAAGGACCGCGAAGGACAGACACCACTTCACTGGGCAGCGTCTCTAGGACGTATAACTACTGTCCAAGTTCTAGTGAAGCAAAAGGAGCTGGACTTGGACGCAACAGACGCGAACGGCTTCACGCCTCTACACAAGGCCGCCGAAAATGGAGAGTTGGAGATCATGAAGCTCTTGATCGACGCTCACGCCGATGCCAACATCAAAATGAAAAGCCAGGATACAGCATTGCATCTTTCCATTCGCAATGGGCATATGGAAGCTGTACAGATACTGCTTGAAGCGCAGGCTGACGAGGAGGCGATAGGCAAGGGAGGCAAAACGATGCTGCACTTGGCGGCCGAGAAGGGGCATCTAGACATTGCACGGTTGTTCGTTGAGAGAGGCGCTGACCTGGAGGCCACTGATGAGAAGAAGTCTACGCCGTTGCATCTGACTTCTTCGTCTGGGCATCTTGATCTTGTCGAGTTCCTCGTGGGGATGAATGCGAATATGCAGGCCGAGGACGACCTAGAGCGCACGCCACTACGCAGGGCAGCGCGAGCCAAGAAGTCGGATGTGATTAGGCTTCTTGTTGGAGCGGGAGCAGCTGATAGATGGCCCGAGGCTTTTGGTGATGAGAGTCCGGAGGACGTGGTTGAACAACTCGACGGTTCGAGTTTGCGGAGATTCATCTTCCGCCTGGGTCACCCGGACAGTGATTTGAGCTCCTGCGATTCGACAATATCAGACTAAATAAGAGTATCCACCGGTTTCTTTATCCGCTACCGAATCATAAAGTCCTTCACGTCATATTCATTGCTATGGTGGGGTGGCAACTCGTTGGGACTAACCCCTTGAACAGGGGCATCGCCAACGAATCGATACCGTTCACCATCAGGCCTCAGAACAAGAAATAGGGGACTCCCAGCATAACAACTTCGTCACTAGATTGTGTGGCGCAAGGCCCCAACCCACCACCAAGATCCCAGCCACAAAGAATCAGAGCATTGTCAACAGACGATTTGCGTAGATATTGGAGAGCAATTTGCAAGTTTTACGTTACACCAATGTGTCTTCCGTTAACGAGAATTGTTAATATGTTGTCTATTCCTCTCATAGGGAGCCGTTGACGAGAATAAGACGTAGGTCTTGAGCATTGCCCAGGTGTACGAAAGAGACTCATGTTTCGGTTGGCTCGAGAGGGCATGAACCTCCAGATTGCAAGCAATTTCTTGGTCCTATGGCCCAGGAAAGAGTGTAAGAAGCCGGAAATTAAACTCCTCGGCCGGTAAAGGTATGCAGATGTGACGTTTAAGATCCATTGGAGCAAGTCAAGGACCGGACGAGACGCAATACTTGGTACTGCTGGCCTCGTTGAGCCAGAGGTTTAAACAAGAATCGTCAGCAATTAGGCAGAAACAGAGGAAAACACCTCACTTTCTTGTGGCAGAAAAGCACGATCTGACTGGCAGATAAGCTGACGTGGCTTGCGCTGTACATAATAAAGGGGATAGAACTTGATGAGAGATCACCCGGCTATTCAGCTGGCTGACATGCAGGCAAGCTGTTACAAAAGGCACCAAAAGTCTTTGCAAGAGCCTCCTCAACTTCGCTTTAACTGGACATGACTGTCTCCTATGGCTCTAGGTCTGGTAGTTCTTCCTATTGCCACGAGGGCCCATCAGCGGTCGTATCAAAGCATCTTAGCCTCGAGCCCTGGTGACAAATCAAAGAACGACTGAAGATTCCACGCCAAACATACTTTCTATACTGCTTGTTGGTGCCATCATTTCAACAGAATCAGCCGGGTTGAACTCATAGCTTGAAGTCGGGGGTAGGGAACCCCTCTGGGGAGACGCGTCTGGGCCAAGTTTCCGCACCTCCCTTACGTACAGAGCCTTTGCAATGAGCCTTTTGACCGGCCTCCATAAGTTGGCCTGATTTGCCACTTCCGTGATATTCCAGCAGTCTTGTGCGATGCTAACCCACTGCCAAGCTCGGCCATCAAATGTGGCTGTCTGGCAACAAAACACTCCCTGCCTTAAGTTGATTTTGGGAAGTATACTTCAGCAAGTATAGTCCTCCCCTCGACTATTTTTTTCGACCAATATTTATAGCTGGTGAATCTCTAAATTGCACATTGACTTCAGACCTGTTTTTCAGACAGAGCGTCAAAATTCTCAAACTACTCAAGCCACTGTCCCAGCTTTCTGGATACACTTGCTAACGGCCAATGAAGTCTTGATTAGCTTCTCTCCCACCTCTCAAGGGTTAGCTCAACATCATCATTATTATCAAATACAATTGCTCGCACAGCAAATTAGGTGTTGAAAAGGCGGGCTGACTTATCATCGCTATTCCTCATGACCACGTACAAAAGGAAATTAGTTCAGTCAGTCCAGAAGGCCACACATGGCCAAAACCACCTTGTCCGAGTCCTCTTCCCCATTCACATCTCCAATATAGCCAAGCTTGCCTGACCCGACTTGGGCAATTACCACTGCAGCCTCATCAAATGTTCCCTCTTCAGTGTACCAGGCCGCTGATCTCTCCATGTTCTGCACAAAGAGCGCCTTCTGGCTATATGAGGCGGGGAGCCGGCTCGCCAGGTGGTCGCCGACAGCACCGCGGTGCAAACTGACTGTTGCCCGGTGATAGGATCCTCTCTTCCAGGGAAGACCCAGTTTGGCAAAGAAGCGATTGAACTCGCCCTCGTTCACCATGCTGCTGAAACAGCCTGCTAGCACCACTGTGGCCCCCTCACGGAGACGGTCTATGACGCGCTCCCAGACTTTCCTCTGGCGTGTGAGGCCTCCATCCACGACAAGGATAACGGACGGAGGCGAATCCTGGTCAAGTATGGTGAGGGCGGCTTCTGGCGTCGTGGCCCGCTCCATCTTAGCCTTGGAAGTGATATGCGAAACGAGGCTTCCAAAGCAAGCGTCGAAGAGAGACTCATACTCGAGGCAGAGCGCAAGGATTCGAGAGCCTGGTTCGGTCTCGGCGGTCGCGGTTTGCGAAGAGCCCAACATGATATCTTCAAACTCAACCTTGGCCGCCCCGTTGCGAGCTGCCTGTTTCGCCGCCGCATCAGCATCGCCATTCAGCTCCCTCGGGATCTTCCAAAGATCAACACGCAGTCCCTGATGATGCCATCTTTCCACCTCGCCGAGTAATAGATCCCACAGATCTTTGTTCTTGACGTTACCACCGGTGCGCGTCTTCCACCCTTTTCGCACCCAACCTTTAGCCCAGCCGGTGGCCCCATCAACCAAATAGGTTGAGTCGGTTGCAATGACGATGCCGTCGTAACCCTGATCCCGCCAGTCACAGAGACGTAGTACGGCGATGGCTGCCCGCAGTTCAGCTCGGTTGCTGGTCGCTACGCTGTCATCCCCAAATGGGCCCTTATCCTCGAGTCGACCGGACACAATGCAACTCTTGTCGTCATTCCCAGGCGTTCCGCACACTACGGCCCAGCCTGCGCTAGGTTCTAGCTGCCCATTGTTCGTACAGGCACCGTCGGCGTACGTGAGTACCTTTCTTGGGTCATTGCGGCAAACAAACCGGATCATCTGACCGCGGCTTATAGGAGTTGGGGGGAAGAGCTCAGCTGGGAATGTCTGCACCGGAGGCTCGAACCTCGATGGAAACACCTTTCCGGTCCCTCGCGTTCTTTGCAATGTTTCTGTATCCTTTCTTGGGCCTTCCGATGGCGCGTTGCTCAAAGCAGCGGCAGCGGTTGTACCTTGATATACGTTGGTGAATCTCGAGGTCTCCGCATCAATCATCAGGATGGCATCTTCGGTCTCCTGCCAGGCACGTAGGCACTGATGGAGAACTAGATGCGCCTCCTCTTCAGAGCCAGGGGTACAGAAGGGTGGTGGGGGAGGAGTCTCTTCCGCGACCAAAGCTTCCCAGAAGTACGGATTTGCATCATGTACCATCCGAGAGAGCCTGCGGTATTGGCTTTGTAATTTGTCAGCCATTGTCTGGACGTCAGGTACGTCCATGGTTCGCATTTTTGCTCGTACAAGCCTTCCCACAGGTCGATCGATCGTGGGATCAGGCTCGTCGTACCCATACCCGAACCCAAACACTGGCCCTTCAGACTCGTGGTATGCATCGATGTCGAGAAAAAGGCCTAGCTTCAGAAGGGTGAGGGCCACGAGGTGACTGAGGCTGAGGGTTCCTGAGCAGAATATGTCGATGGGCTCGAAAGGGTCGGCCCCGTGAATGTCTAGGAATGGTAGCGTGTCATCGTCCCAGTCGTAATGTCCGTTGTAATGATCCTTGTTGTCAATGGTGGCCCACCACTTGAGAAAATCGTAGCACTCCTGCTCCCGGCCGAGCTGCAGCAGGAGGTGGGGGATGATATCTCGCACACCCAGCTCGTCCCTTCGACTGAGACGCAGGAGGTCGTTGAATTGCCCAAGAGCACTGTCCATGGCACGCGTCGTATTGGTTCTGAGGAGTGCGTTGGCGGCGGTGAACCGCGCCCTCATATCGTGGACCTTCATGGCTGCGGAACTGAAGCTGGGAGCTTTTGGGCTTGCTGAAGGTTCAGGTTCAGGTTCTATTCCTACTCGGTTTTAGCCGCCATTTCTCGGCAGCCATGCCCGGTAAGCGGGGTTTGGCCGACGGCCGAAGCGCCCCGAATGTTTATCCGTTACGCCCCACTTCGCCGACGCCATTGGGCGTTGGACCAGCTGTCTCCAAACTTCCCACTTTTCCTCCTAAACTCTATCTACAACGGGCTACCAACCTCTGTAGATCGCGGTTCGAAATACTAATGTATACATGCTTTTAGGCTCCTATATGGCGAGGTATACGCCTCGTGTATGGGTCTTTCTACCTACAGTCTCCCCCTAGCGCTCGGCTTCGTCTGGTTACGGACTGATCCTGAATTTGTCGCAGGTACTGATGGGCCATGAGATCAAATGAGCGCTTGATTTTCTATCTAAAGGAGTGAAGAGAGTCAGTCTCTTATACCTGTGTTCAGTCTGCCGATCTCATAGGCAGCAGGCTGTTGCCTGATGCTAGTTATGGTGTGGCGTTCACGCTGACCGTGAAGCTATTCACAATGGTAGTGATCCTTGCCCTTGACACGTGATTAAGATTGCAATTATGATGTTACCTCAGGCACTCAGACCCACTGGGCGCGCTTAACAGCGCGACGCCTTCCCTAAAGGGGTAATAGCTCCCAGAGGGCCTGAGCCCACAACTTTAAATTTGTATGGAATAAGGCTTCGTCACCGTGACTACATCTACAACACTGCGTATTATTGAGAACGCGACACGCCCGACAGTCTGCAAGCAGCAATGCGAGAAATTGGAGCCGGCCATCAAATACATGCGAGATGACCTATACTTCAGCATTGGCAATTTCGTCAAAGGACTGTCGGCAGCTAGTGGCAAGAGAAGAGCTGCATTTTCTAAGGCTGCATACGAGGATCCGGCGGTCTTGCCGATATATATGCGAGAGGATGACTCGGTGGATGACAGGCAAGTATGTGCCCGGCATCGCCTCAGCTCTCACCTTGATGTCGGGCGCGTCAACATGCGGCGGGAGGTGAAGAAGCTATGCGAGATGCTATCCTTTCGCGCAACACAGCAAGCAGAAGCCGCCGCCTTTACACAACTGAACATGAGCAAAGTCATCAAGGCTGCAGAGGATAGCTGTCCGTAACTCATGAGCATTCCCCGTCCCAACAGCCGTCGCTGCATACGACAACTTCGAGCAGATGGAACATGTCAAGGAGCAGCGAGTTGACAGTGAAAACTCGTTTCGATCAATAACTACTGGTCAGCTTATTTCTGGCATCGAAAGCAGAGCATGCTGAACCAGTCGGTAAAGCTGAGGCTGACGGATATCATCTGAGCACCGGGAAATGAGAGAGATGCGTGGAATTGGAGGTAAGAATGCGGTTGCATGTATTCTGTTCAAGTGGCTGATACCATAAAGTCATAGAATTCCCCGATATCTTGTCTCTGAGGCTATCAAAAGTGCATTTCCGGACTGCATTGCCATGGCGAATCCTCCAATGCCAGCGATAGATATCCTACCAAGACAGAATACGAGTCACGTCTCTCTAAGCCTATTCCACACGACAAGAGCACAAACGTGGGCAACCTGAATGTTCTAGCGAACATCTTCGAAGAGCAATACAAGCTGCCAGAAGACGCGTTCCAGGAGCGGCTGTTCCTCATTTATGGCGACCAGAAGACGACTCAGCGAATCAGAACAGTCAAGTCGCGTCGATCCAGATCTGCCCGGGCCGTCGACCGCTTGCGATGAGCACCACCAGTGCCAGCTCTCTTTCATTTGAGAATGAACTACCTCTACATGTTGAGTCGAGTGCACTTCGGTGCAGCAGGTGACGGGCCTGACGGCAGCAAAGCAAACGCTCTATTATGCTGCAAATCTCTGGATCCGCAAGGGCATACAGAAGAAGAAAGCGGACTTTTACTCCTGAAGGATGATCTGGAACTTGTGATCCCATGTCTAGTGAGAGTCGTCCTCGCAAGGAAATTGAGGTCCAACGGGTCGTGGTCGCTTGCTGAGGCTGGAGATTTCGCGACGCGACTGCCCTAGACGGCTACAACAACACAACAACACGTCGCAAGGGAACAAAAGATCGATCAATGGATATTTGGGGCTTGTGGGATCCTCCTCATATAGTTATCTTATTGATTTGTGTTGAATTGAGGCCTTTATGGCGTGATGGAATCGGTAAGGTTGGGAGTGGACTGTGGACCCCGCGAAACATTATGATTACCGCAAAATTGTATGGGAGCGAAGCATCATCCCACCCAATTGCCAAGTTTTGGTCTCAGGCCCTCTCACAAGAACCACGTGATCCGTGCGTCTGTTCGCTTAGTGAGTGGGTCTGAGTGCCTGAGGTAATTATGATGAAATGATGAAACTATGACTTGTTTTCCATCATCCAATGTTTCATGCTTCTGATTGCTATCTAGTCCTACTCCTCTTTCTTCTTCGCTCACGTCTAATCATTGCACAGATACTACTGATGGGCCATATGGATCAAATGAGCGTTCGATTATCCATGTTAAGGAGCGACGAAGGTTAGTCTCTTATACCTGTGCTCAGTATACCAATCTCATTGACAGCAGCTGTTGCCCGATGTCAATGATGATGCCGTGTTTATACTGACCGTGAAACTATACACGACAGTTGCCGAGACATTCAGTCCAAGGCCGAACCCAGGTACTCTCTGCACCAGGCTGTCGTTATGAGGGTGGCCCTTCGAAGCCTGCGTTCTAAACATGTTAAACATTGTCACAAGGAGTCAGTATTATTGAGAGACGGGTGAAAATCGACCCAGCATAGCACCACGCGACATGGCCAGCGGCAGGACGCTGAGGTCGAGCACGAGGGTCTTCATCTTTGTTGTAAGGCCTTAGATATATACATGTTAAGAACTAGTCTCCGCCATAATCGTCTCAATCCCTTCGTCCGATCCAATCTTGAGAACATATCGCTTGTACCAAGGCCAGTATTCCTCAAGTGACCATTTCCTCAGTCTTCGTAGTGCGGCCACGATCTGAAACGTCCGCAAGACACTGCGTGTGGTCCCGAATTCTTGATTAGTCCAGAGTTTCTATATTTCAACATGTCAGCCTTCATAGCGCCCACAGAACGACAAGAGTAAAGGTCTTACCGTCTTGCCGTCAGCATACGTCGCCGCCACCATCTTCCACTCATGGCCATTCACGATGATACCCGGAATAAATGGCAGCTCACGTAGTCCTTCTGGAGCCGCCTGCTCTGCCAGCAACTTCCACTGCGCTGCCAGCCAGCTGCCAAGCTGGAATTCAGCCTTGCGCTCCTGGCCGCCGTACCGCTTCGTTTCGATGCTAATGGCAATGGGGCGGTCTCGCAGCAAGCTGAAGCCAGTGTGGTTGACAGATGATTCTGGGCTGTGTCGCTGGAGATGTTGAACAGCTCTCTGGGTGTTGGTCGGCTCGGGTGTGTCAAGGATGGGATTGATGAAAATGGCATAGTCGACTTTGGACGAGTAGATGTGGGATACGCGATAATTGGCGGTCATGCTGGCGTTCATGCTGGGGAACTCAGGTTAGTGCGCATAATTCTTGCATGAGAAAACGAGTACGAGAAACATACTATGCCGTAAAGCTGATGGGTTGGCCCGGTACTGGCCGTCGGTTGAGAGCAGCATGGAGGAGAGGAGAGTGCACATGGTTATTCCAGCATGTCTCGTCTATATCGGCGCCCTGGCATTCCTTGGCTATGTCGACAATTTCCATGATATCATTGAGGTGCTTTTCTGGGAATCTGGCGTCGATGGTTTCGGGGGACGCCATGGCTATATCATCCGAGTCCATGTAGGCCGACCCGCGAAGTAAGGCCAATGATCGTGACGTTGACTTGAGCCTTTCGATAGATGGCTGCACATATTACCATTACCAGTCAGCATCGCATATCATATGCCAGCTCAAATATGGACACAAACCCGAAGACTGTTGTGGATGACGCATAGCCCGTCATTAATCTCTTGCATCTCTGCGACCAGTCTGATGAGCGACTCGGGCATGTCGGCATCATCCACATCCATGGCCACCGTCTCGAGGCCTTGCGGATCCAGCCGGAGTGTTGAAATGAGAAGATTCAGATTGCTTAATTCCTACTAAATGTGCAGTAGGGGAACAACTGTTTATGTACAGGCACGATCTCTTGTAGAATGTTCCTCCTTCTTCCACACCTTGCCACCGACTTGGTCGCCTCACACTTGTGATATCCAACACGGAGATGTGACGCCAGCTTGGATGGCGACGAGCGGCCCGAATGCTGGCTTCCTCCCATGAGAGATTGCGACGAGAGCGACGAGAGAGATGGCGTTTCGCTCTTGTCGGCAAGCCGCAGTGGTCGTGGCGTATCATCGTCTACCTGGTCGTCAGGCGCCGTCGCAATCTTGCGCTTCTTAGGCGTTCCGGGTTGGGACGGCATTATTGAGTTGTGGTGATGGTGCGGTTGGATCTCGGAGACGGGCGGTGAGGGGATTTGAAGATGAGAGTGCTTGCGCTTTTGCGACTTGAAAGCTAGGATACTGAGCGAGCCATCTCTAGCGTGACAAGAGTCGGCAGAATCGTCACAGGCTGGAATGTTTTCAAGCCATTTGGTTACCGCATCGATCAACGGCCGAGATCCCATGGGCGACGAGGACTTTACTTGGCGAAATTTGGAGGATTGGGCTCGGGGAGGAGTCGTTCGTGATCAACTTGGCAATTAATTTCTTGCTTGGTGGTCGATCAAATCGCCGTCACATCATCAAGTGTCGCAGGGTAGGCATGATCTTCGCGGCCTCATGAAACAACTGCGTTAGTAATCTAGCCGTATGCTTTAAGTAACTCTGCGGGATGGAATACCCCGCACAAGAGAAAAACCTCAGACAACAATCAATCAACACACTGCTGCTGCCCATTATCGTTTACCTGACCCTTGATCCTCTTAGCACGCTCAGTGCGACATCAAGCGACAAAAACGTGTTGCTCGGAGCAACGATTGATGGTGGTGGGGCACGGAAGATACTATAGCCGGCTCCGTCTTATGCCTGGGCACAAGTTCAGCCTCAGCCACACTGCACTTCGGAGACCTGTCAAGGTATCCGGTACCTGCTGCGGAGCGCGTTACAGTGGACTTGAAGAAGAGCCGTGCTAAAGAAAAACCAATCGGTGGAGGAAAAAAAAAAGTCGCTCGGAGATAGCATCTAGGCTCTTCTGGCAGCTTGTGACACATTGTGATGAGGCAATTCTATTCGATGTTGATTTTTGTTGCGCGTTGTGGCTGGAGGGCAAGTTGATAGAGGGCATGCAGTTACTCGAGATATCACTAAGTCAGAAATCAGTCACATCGGCGTCGGTGCCCAGACTCTCCGACGCCGGTCGGTAGATCCGCCGATTGCCGGCCCGACAACTTTCATATGGAGATCATGGGGTCAGGGAATGACGGCCCGGCAGTGATCTTGTTGGATTGGACTGGACTGGATTTCGAGGTCGGATCTAGTCTAGTCTAATGCACAGGGCTGGGGGCTCCAGGAGCGCCAATGCAAATCCAATTCTCCAAATGGATTAGGAGTATTCCGCATTTTGCGAAAAGAGTCGCCGCGAGATTTACTGCGGAATCGATCCTTGTTCAATGCTGTTGCGGTATGTATTTGACATCAATTACACTGGTTACCGCAAGCCCTCCTGAGTAGTATTGTCCTCATCCAGAAAACCCTCTTAATCGGCGGTCTGAAGGTCCACATTGCCCATTCTAATTTCAGATCCCTCCCCGTCGTGCCGAGTCCCCTGCAGATTAGACTCCCCTTCTAGTCTCCCAATGTTGATATCCTCAAAAGTATTCCGTGCAGGTGGGCCGAACCAGGATCGGAGGCACTCGCTGGCTTCAATGATATCTATCTTAAGCCTCGACCGCCGGTCGGAAAGCAGTATCTTGGCGCTGCTGAATAGCCGCTCGCACTCGTCTGACATTGATGGAACGGCCAGAACATCCAGAGCCATACGGGCTAGATCCGGCTGCGTATAGTAGCGATCGTTCCAGTAACGGATAGGATCAAAGGTTTCGTCCTCACCAAGCCGGATAACATCTGTTTCAAGGAACTGATCGAGCAAGTCGACGGCGGGAGGGTCGGTTGCCAGGGCCTCGTGACGAAGCTTCAGTCGTTTATGGCTCTTGACCGCCATAAAGGCCTTCTCCTTTCTAACCGGAGCAGGCAAAGTTGGGCAGAACGAAGCGGAAACTGACGCATGCTTTGTAGAATGTCTTCCCCGATACTTTTCTAGCCAGAGGCCCCTAATAAGGTTCGTAACGTTCGGGATCTATGACTTCTTTTCTTTATCTGTCCAAGTCTCGATATACCACTGGTTTTTGAGAGTCGGATTTAGCGCAATAGTAGCATAATATGCCGGTGTATTATCCGCTTTCTTGAAGTACTCCTCTGCCTTACGCTAGGAAGCTTCCGCCGAAGCGGCAAGAAATGCGAAGTCATTAGCTTCAGCAGCAATAGCTCCTCTACTGGTGTTCCTTCGAATAGCCGCCTTGTGGAGTTCTTCGAATTTAATCTTGGCCTGCTGGATCTCATTTAGTAGCTAGTTAAGTGTCTGAAAGTGATCCGCTAGTGTTAAAAGCCTGCCTTCCGTAGAGAGGGTTCCGTTATAGAATGTCTCTAGCTGATTATGAAGGTATGCAAGCTCGTCCCACTGCTGCTTAGATAGGCGGTCTTCTGTGAGGCTTTTCTGGCTCTGGCCAGCCTTATACTGGTCATAGAAGACTTGAATTCGCTCCTTGACGTTAAGAGCTCTACCGATCGAGGTGAAGTATGAATTCTAACGTGTCTTCTGGCTTTGGATAAGCTAGGCTAACTATTAGTCCTGACTATGGGTTTATGGAGGGCGTAAACTCACCTCTAAGCTATTAAACTTAGACAGCTCTCCCCCGCAGATAATTGATCTGAAAAACTGACGCCGCTGAGGATTGGCTCGAATGTATTTGATGATATTGTGAAGCCTTCTGATGGCGCCGCGCTTCCGCTAGAGCTCCTAGATTCGCTTCATATCACCCTCCCTGTACGCGGCGTCTAGATCTTTGTAGACCTTTTCGGCGTCCTTTCTGATAAGGAAGGCCTGCGCGCAGAGATTCATAATGTGCCCGAAGCACCGGAGGCGTCTGCGTTTTCGCTGCTTATCTGATATCCTTGGGTAGATAGCGCGCAGTACAAAGTCAACGCACATATCGTTGACCGATGCGTTATCGGATATAAAATAGCCAACTCGGTCCGTAATCTTATAATCTTTGATGACCTGCAATAGGATATCGCCGATGTTCTCCCCTGAGTGTTCCCCTTCCACTTCGCGTAGCGCTAAGATAGCAGTTCGACGCAGCCCAGATTTGTCGATGAAATGTGCTGCTACTCTAAGCACTGCGAGGTAGTTCGGCGACGTCCATAGATCGAAGGACAGCGAAATGGAACTCCGATTGTCGAGCATATCCTGCCGTAGTCTCTCCTTCCTCACCTCGAATATATTTATCACCTACTGGCGAATGGTTGATGCTGCCTTTGGAAGGAGATTAGCTAAGGGTGGGAATAGATAGAAGAGGAGGTCGCGAAAGTAGTTATTCTCGATCTGGAAGAAGGCGATATGGCAATAGACTAGCCAGCGGACTAGGAGTTCCTTGAACCGATCTAAGCGGCGGGAGAAGATGATCGATTTTATGTCCTGGTAATCGGATATCGAGGGCTGGCTCGAGTCCACCGAGTCTCCTCGAAAGGACTTGAGTTCTCTAGTAGTCTTGTCGATATGATGTTTCAGGTGGAGATGATCAAGTGCCGTAGAATTGCCATTTGAGACTGCTGGAAGTTCTTGTTGACGACGCTGTTTCTCGCAGAGGTAGCAGTACCATACCCGTTTCCGATCTCTCTTTGACTGTAGATCCTCACCGTATAGCCAGATCACCGACGTGCGCTTCTTTGTTGATTTAGGGCCCCTTGCGATCACAGAACAGCGAGTATATTGCTCGCCCTGAAGCTTGAACTCATCTGGCTGGATCAGGGCATCCGGATCGCGACTACCGGTATTGTTGATCGATTCTGGAGCGAGAACAACATTGTCTGACTCTGAAGACCTAAAATACTTCGAACACCCGTTAAGTTGCCAAGGCAAGGGACTTAACGGCTGAATATCCAGCCCGAAGGGTAAATACCGTATACCCGCTATTAAACTCTTCTGGGGGAACCCCCTAGATCCCCTTTTCGTCTGCGGCGATAACCAGCTGTTTAAACCACTTCAAACCTGTGGTAGGGAGTTGACTGATAGACATAGGGGTCCCTCTACCACTTCCTGCCAGGCCCAATCAACTATATACCGTATATCGAGTTCCCCTTTCCCTGTAGCTTATAGGAAAACGTCATTTAGTCAATGTACCGTGGTGGATACGGCGGATCGATTAGCTGTTGAGCCTGACGGCGTTGTTGGTCAGCAAGGCGCATCTTCATCCCTGCTTTGTAGTTAGCCATAATCGCAGTACGTAGGAAACGCAGGCGTATAAACCTTCCGTGGGCGTGTGGTTATAGAGGCTGTGACGATCGAAAGGCGCCTCAAGCAGTAGGCCTTTCAGCGAGGTAACTCGTGAGATAGCAACATAACTAATACCGGCCTGGAAGTCGCGTGTAGCGAGGTCAGTAACTATCTGATCCTTTGTTAGACTCTGGCATTTGTGAACAGTGATAGCAAATGCCACGATCAGGGGAAACTGCTTGCGAGCGCAAGTCTCGTTGCCCACTAGGAAATCACGCGTGACTGGAAGGATGGGTACGATTTTCCTGCCCTCGTTAGTTGTTAGATACGGCGGTCCATCGTAGCTATCGAAATCCACCATAATAACGGCCGGAGGGTCTTCCCATGGTTTGGCGCCTTCATTCCAGGCGATATCGTATACAGTACCCTGGGCGCCATTCACTAGGCCAGCTGGCTGCCATAAATTAGTCGTGAGCATTACCCTGGCGCCCTTAGCAACAGGAAACTTGTTGGATAGATTGCTAGCATGGTCGCTTGGCGCCTGCCCCGCGCCGTTGCCCTGGTTCTTTGCCTCCACCTGTATTGCCGGGGCGTTGAGGTGCATCATATGCTCGTAATTGTACTCGTTGACGCGGGCCTTCGTAGAATACACCCGCATAGCGGCCCTGAATCTGTCAACCTCGCTCTGCGTTAGCTTGGCTTGTACCCGATTGCTAAGGAGGTCCCAGGACGGTATAGATAACTTAACTTCACGCAGTTCTTGCAACGCCTGACGGAACCGGGCCTGATCATCGCCAGTCTGTCGTTGTACCGTGGTCAGAAAGACGGTGCGGTCAAATAACCGGTAGGCCGCCTGTCCTCTCCTTTCCAACGAAGAGAGGCTGGTGCTAGTCGAATACAGGGGCTTTTGCCGGACTGGTGGTAACTGGAAGAAATCGCCCACAAGCAAGACGCTCACACCACCAAAGAACTCGAGGCTACGCTGTGGAAAGGCCTGCCGCAGGCGGGAATCGATCCGCGCCAGCTGCTCAAGCCCTAGCATGCTCTTTTCATTAATAACGAGGTATCTGACGTGCCGTAGGCGGGACTGAAGGCCGGCTGCGTCGGCTGGAGGAAGGTCGGCAAAAGCACTAC